TACAATAAATAAATTACAGTTATGTGGATCTATTTCTGGGCTCTTTACTCTCTTCCATTAATCTATTTATCTATTCACTAATACAAAACTGTTTTGATTACTGTAGCTTTATAGTAATTACTGAAGTCAAATAGTGGTGATCTCCAATTTTGTTCTTTTCTTCTAATGTTGTATAGGCTATTCTGAGTTTTTTGTCTCTCCATATAAATTTTAGAATCAGTTTCCCAATATCCATAAAATAACTTGCTGGGATTTTAATTGGGATTGTGCTGAAAGTATAGATCAAGTTGGTAAGAACTGACATCTTGGCAATATTGAATCTTCCTATTCATATAATGGAATGTCTCTTCATTTATTCAGATCCTTAACTTCTTTCATGAGAATTTTATAGTTTTTCTCATATAGATCTTATACATATCTATATACTAGATGTATACCTAAATATTTCATTTTGGGAGGCATTAATGTCAATGATACTACATTTTAAATTTGAAATTCCAGTTGTTCAGTGCTGGTATATAAGAAAGCAATTGACTTTTGTACATTAACTTTATATCCTGCAATCTTGCTATAATTCTTTATTCATTCAAGGAGGGTTTTTTGTTCTTGATGATTCTTTGGGATTTTCTAGATAGGCAATCTTGTCATCTGTGAACAAAGAAAGTTTTACGTCTTCCTTCCCAATCTATATTTTCTTGTCCTATTGCATTAACTAGGACTTCCAGTATCATGTTGAATATGGGTAGTGAGATTGGACATCCTTGCCTGTTCCTGATCTTAGTCAGAAAGCATCATTTCCCAAAATCAAGTATAATGTTAGCTTTAGGTTTTTTATAGATGTTCTTTATCAAGTTGAGGAAGTTCCCCTGTACTCCTAGTTTACGGTTGGATTTTGTAAAGTATTCCCACAACTAGTGATATGATCATGTGATTTTTCTTCTTTAGAATGTTGATGTGATGAATTGCATTAATTGATCTTGCAATGTTGAAGCAGGCTTGCATACTGAGAATCAATCCCTCTTGGTTGTGGTGTGTAATTCTTTTTATGCATTGTTGGATTTGATTTTCTAATATTTTGTTGAGAATTTTTGCATCTATTTCATGGGACATATTAGTCTGTAGTTTTCCATTCTTGTAATATCTTTTATCTCATAAAACCAGTTGTGAAGCATTCCATCTTCTATTTGGGGAATATATTGTATATACATGGTATAATTTATTCATTAAGTGAATGGTAGAATTCACCAGTGAGCCCATCTGAGTTTGGTGCTTTCTGTTTTGGAAGATTGGTAATTATTGATTCAATTTCTTTTGAATATTAGCCTATTTGGATTATATATGTCTTTTTGTGTGAGTTTTAGCAGATTGCATCCTTCAAGGAATTGGTCCATTTCATCTAGGTTATCAAATTTGTGAGCATAGAGTTGTTCATAGCATTTCTTTATTATTCCTTTAATGACCTTGGGATCAGTAAGTATGGCCCCTCTTTCATTTTTGTATTAGTTATTTGTGTCTTCTCTCTTTTTTTCTTAGTTAACCTGTCCAGAGGTTATCAATTTTGTTGCAAGAACGAACTTTGGTTGTGTTGATTTTCTTCATTGATTTCCTGTTCTCAATTTCATGGATTTCTGCTCTAATTTTTATTATTTCTTTTATTCTGCTTAATTTGTATGCGATTTGCTCTTCTTTTTGTAGTTTTGTAAGGTATGAAGACTCAGATTTTGTTTTATATCTTTCTTATTTTCTAATATATGCATTCAATGCTCTAAATTTCCCTCTAATACTGTTCTTGATATCTAACAAATTTTGATAAGTTGAATTTTCGTTTTCATTTAGTTGAAAATATTTTAAACTTCCCTTGAGACTCTTTGACCCATGTGGTATTTAGCAGTACACTGTTAATCTCCAAATATTTTGGGGTTTTCCAGTTATCTTTCTGTTATTAACTTCTAGTTTAATTCTACCATACTCTGAAAGCAAACATTGTATGATTTCTATTCTTTTAAAGTCTATTTTTAAGGTGTGCTTTATGGCAAAGAATGTGGTCTATCTTAGTGAAAATTCCATGTGAGCTTGAGAAGAATGTGTATTCTGCAGTCATTGGATGAAGTATTCTATAGATGTCAATTAGGTCCAGTTGATTAATGGTACTATTCATTTCAACTATGTCCTTACTGATTTTATGCCTACTGGATCTGTCAGTCACTAATAGAAGGAATTTGAAATCTCCAACTGTAAAAGTGAACTCATCTATTTCTTACTGCATGTTTATCAAGTTTTTGCTTCACATAATTTGACACTCTGTTGTTAGGTACAAACATGTTAAGTATTGTCATGCCTTTTTATTTATTTTTTTAATTTTTTTAAGATTTTATTTATTTATTTGACACACAGAGAGAGCCAGAGAGACAAGTGGGGGAAATAGCAGAGAGGGAGAAGCAGACTCCCCGCTGAACAAGGAGCCCCATGCGGGGCTCGATCCCAGGACCCTGAGATCATGACCTGAGCTGAAGGCAGCCGCTTAACCGACTGAGCCACCCAGGCGCCCCTGTCATGTCTTTTTAAAGTATTGACCCTTTTATCATTATGTAAGCCTCTCTTTATCCCTCACAATTTTCTTTGCTCTAAAGTCTGCTTTGTCTGAAATTAATATAACTACTCCAGCTTTCTTTTGATTAGTCTTGGTATGGTATATCTTTCTTTATCCCTTTACTTTTACTTTGTCTGTGTCTTTATCTATTAAGTAGACCTTGTCTGTTTTCTATTCATTGCCCTTGTTCTTTGTTTCTTTTTTCCTTATAATATTTTTCTGCCTTCTGTGATTTTAACTGAGCATTTTTATGTTTCCCTTTTTCTTCTCTCTTAGCATATCAATTATACTTTCTTGGAAATATATGTATTTATTGCCATTTTATTACTTGTTTTGTTGTTTCTGGAGATTTTTCTGATCCTTTGTTTTTGTCACTTTTGGTCTTTCCTTTCCACTCAAAGAGTCCTTTTTAATATTTCTTGCAGGCCTGATTTAGTGGTCATGAATTCCTTTAGTTTTTATTTGTCTAGGAAAACTTTTTTATTGTGTTTCCCTTTAGTTTGTAATATACATTTACATCTAACCCAAATCATCTTTCAAATAATACTATAGCACTTCATGGAGAGTGCGAATACCTTATAAGAGATTATTCTCAATTCCTCTCTCTCATCTTTTATAACATTTTAGTCATTCATTTCACTTATCCATAAGCTACAATCACTATTATTATTTGGAACAAATGGTTACCTGTTAGATCAATTAAGAATTTAAAAATTAAATAATTTTAATCTTTTAATATAGACAAGAAATAACAAGTGTTGGCAAGGATGTGGAGGAAAGGGAACCCTTGTGCACTATTGGTGGGAAAGTGAATTGGTACAGCCACTCTGGAAGCCAGTATGGTGGCCCCTCAAAAAATTAAAAATAGAAAAATTCAGAAATTCCACTGCTGGATATTTACCAAGAAAACTATACATGTGTGTGTGTGTGTGTGTGTGTGTGTGTACATAACTCAGCCATAAAAAAGAATGAAATCTTGCCATCCATAAGAACATGAATGGAGGGGCGCCTGGGTGGCTCAGTTGGTTAAGCGACTGCCTTCGGCTCAGGTCATGATCCTGGAGTCCCTGGATCGAGTCCCGCATCGGGCTCCCTGCTCAGCAAGGAGCCTGCCTCTCCCTCTAACCCTCCCCCCTCTCATGTACTCTCTCTCTCTCATTCTTGCTCTCTCAAATAAATAAATAAATCTTTAAAAAAAAAAAAAAAGAACATGGGTGGACCTAGAGTGTATTTTTTTTTTAAGATTTTATTTATTTATTTGTCAGAGAGAGAGAGCACAAGCAGGGGGAGCAGCAGGCAGAGGGAGGGAGCCTGGTATGGAACTCAATCCCAGGACCCTGAGATCATGACCTGAGCTGAAGGCAGAAGGCAGACGTTTAACAACTGAGCCACCCAGGCGTCCCAGACCTAGAGTGTATTATCCTAATGAAATAAGTCAGAGAAACACAAATACCATATGACTTCACTTATATATGGAATCTAAAAAACAAAACACACACATGCACATAAAACAGAAACAGTATCATAAATACAGGGGACAAACTAGTGGTTGCCAGAGGGGAGGGAGTGGAGGGTGGGTAAATTGGTGAAGGGAATTGAGAGGCACAAACTTCCAGTTATAAAATAAATAAGTCATAGGGATGAAAAGTACAGCATAGGCAATATAGTCAATAATATTGTAATAACTTTGTATAGTGACAGATGGTGACTACCATGACTTATCATGAGCACTGCTTAACATATAGAATTGTCAAATCACTATGTTGTACATCTGAAACTAATATAACACTGTATGTCAATTATACTCCAATTTATTTTTTATTACTTTTTAAAGATTTTATACTCCAATTTTAAAAATAAAGTAAAATTTAAAAATTTCATTTTACCTTGATTTATTTCTTCCCTTTCTTTATGTAGATTTGAGGTTCTGACTTACATACTTTTCCTTCTCTCTGAAGAATTTAACATTTCCTGCAAGGCAAGTGTACTGGTGACAACTTCTGTCAATTTTTTTCTAAGGAAGTGTCTATTTCTCCTTCATCTTTCAAGGATAATTTGCTGAATGTGGAATTCTAGATTGGTAGTTCTTTTCTTTCAACAGTTTAAATATTTCATACCACTCTCTTCTTGCTTGCATGGTTTCTGAAAAGAAATTTGATGTAATTCTTACTCTTGTTTCTGTATAGGTAAGGTGTTTTTCCCCTCTGGCTTCTTTCAAGATTTTCTCTTTGTGTTTGATTTCTGTGGTTTGAAATGTTATGCCTAGATGTATATTTTTGGTATTTATTATCCTTGGTGTTCTGTGGTATCTGAAATTAATTTGAATAATTCTCAATCATTATTACTGAAACTGTATCTTCCTTCCTTCCTTCTTCTTTCTTTCTTTTTCTTTCTTTCTTTTCTTTCTTTCTCTTTCTTTCTTTCTTTCTTTCTTTCTTTCTTTCTTTCGTTCATTCGTTCGTTCATTCTTGTTTTGGTATTCCCATTATGCATATGTTACACCTTTTGGAATTTTCTCACAGTTCTTGGATATTCTGTTCCATCTTTTTCATTCTTGTTTCTCTTTGCATTTCAGCTTTGGAAGTTTCTATTGATGTATCTTTAAGCTGATTTAATCCTTCCTGGGCTAGTGTCCAGTCTATTGACGAGTTCATCAAAGGCATTCTTCATTTTTTATTACAGTGCTTTTTGATTTCTAGTATATCCATTTGCTTCCATCTTTCTGCTTATTTGTTCTTGCACACTTTTTCCATTAAAGATCATAGCATATGAGTCATGTTGTTTTAAATCCCCAGTTTGGCAATTTCAGTATCTCTGCCATAACTGAGTCTTATTCTGATCCTTGCTCTGTCTCTTCAAAATGTATTATTTCTTGTCTTTTAGTACAACTTGTAATTTTTTTGTTGGAAGCCAACATGATGCACTGAATAAAAACGAACTGAGGTAAATAGGGTTTCATGTGAGGTGTTATGTTTATGTGGCTATAGGTTAGGCTGTGTTTATTGTTTGTTATGGATATCAGAGGATAAAATTTCCTCTGGTATTTTTGTTTTTATCTCTTCTATTGTCTTTGAGCTTCTCTGGAGCCTTTTTCTTAAGTTAGGTCTGAGACATGCAGTTCTTTTAGTTGTGTCCCCCTGTTATTATACAGGAGCCCTACTGATATGGGTGTGAGGTGTGAAGAGAGGTAAGTGTTCTATAGTCCTATGATTAAGCCTCAATCTTTTAATGAGCCTGTGATCCTGGGCTGTGACCCCCACAAGTGCTTTTCAATTGTTTCCCTCCTAGGTGAGACAGGAAGGCTAGAGGAGGCTGGAGTTGGGTATTTCCCTTCCCCCAGGTCAATTAAGCTCTGGTAAAAACAGTTTCTGTTCATCTGGTAAAACAGATGAACGGAACGCTCTGAATGTATTTCAGAATGGCTGTTTTCCCCACCCCCTGCCAGAAGCATAAGGGGATTTTTCTCTGTCTCTAACTGTGAGAACTTGGTAGCTCTTTTGAAGATAAAGCTCAGATAAGCATGGGCAACCTTGAAAGACTGGCCTTCTTGGAGTTTTTAACTCAAACTTGTCCACACCAAATTCCAGCAAACCATCAATTACAGTTTAGGTTTTCCTACCCTGGTACTTGTTCCTGTGGAGTTCCTTAATCCTGTAAGTTGTGATTGTCTTTATCTGCTTCTCTGTCTCGCAAATTTGAGTGGGGGGGGGGGGGCGCAGCACTTGTGATCTTGAAACTCTGATGCATCTAAGAACAGTTGCTAATTTTCAGTTTGCTCATCTTTTTTTCTTGTGGTGAGGTTGGCAATGATGACTTTCAAGCTCCTTACATGGCAGACTGAAAACTAACAGTGTTTTTGAAGAGCAAAAGTTTTTAATTCTTAAGAAGTCAAATTTATTGATTTTTTTCTTTTTATAGTGTCTGCTTTTTGTGTCATGTTTAAAAATCCTTGCCAAACCCAAGTTCACTAAGATTTTCTCCTAGAAGTTTTATAGTTTTATCTCTTACATATAGATCTACAATCCATTTTGAGTTATTTTTTGCAAATGGTGTAAGGTAAGGTCAAAGGCTTAATTTTTTGCATATTCAGTTATTGAGAAGATTTCTTGTAAAGATTTCTTTCTTGAAAACATTATCCTTCCTCGTTTAAGTGTCTCAGCATCTTTGGCAAAAGTCATATGTGTGTGTCTAGAGATTCTATTCTGTTCCTTTGATCTCTTTGTCTCTATGCCTGGACTACAGTTTTGATTCTGGAGCTTTATAATAAGTCTTTAAATGGTGTTATTAATGTTAGTTATCCAAAATTCAACATTCTTTTTCAAATTTGTTTTGGGTAGTCTAAGTCCTTTCCGTTTCTATATAAATTTTAGAATTCCTTTGTCAAATTTTATTAAAAAGTCTGCTGATATTTTTATTGGTATTGCAATAAATTTATAGATCAACTGGGGGGGAATTTATACTTTAGAAATAGTGAGTCTTCTGAAACATGAACATAGTATATCTCTCAGTTTATTTAGGTCTTAGTTTTTCCCAGCAATCGAAGATTTCAATGTACAAGACTTACACATCTTTTGTCAAAGTTATTCATAAATATTCAATAATTTCAATACTATTTTAACAATGCATTTAAAAATTAAACTTCTAAGTGTTTGTTCCTAATATGAAGACATATGAGTGAATTTTGATTTTGATAGTGTCCTGCGACTATGCTAACTTACTCATTAGTGCTTTTTTTTTTTTTGTAGTTTTATATTTTTATTAGCACATATACAATGTGCACATAATACTGTCTATTCATTTTCTTTGATGTGCAGCCTCAAAGATTGGTGACTCTCATGGTCATCTGGGATGCTCTTTCCACAATGGCTCTGTGGTTCTTGGAGGAGACATTGTGAGCAATCTCTGCACAGTAAGATTTGTTGCACATCAGCAGCACCTCAAGCTCCTTGATGTTGCAGACTAGAAACTTCTGGAAGCCACTGGGCCGCATGTGCTTTGCTTTCTTGTTTCTCCCATAACCAATGTTGGGCATCAAGATCTGGCTCTTCTTCTGCACAGCCTATTGTCAATGCCTCTGATTTCCAATAGTTGCACTTAATTTTGACATAGCAGTCTGACTGGTACCAGATGAACTTCTTGGTCCCCTTTTTAACTATCTTGGGCTTCATTGGAAGTCTGAGGGTAGCCATGATGCTGAGTAGAGATGGCTGCCACCTCTGCAGGCAGTACCAAGGAAGAGCTAAACTTACTCATTAGTTCTAAAAGTTCTTCTGTACATTCCATGAAACTTTCTACATAGGTAATCAGTGTTTTTGAATGAAGACCATTTTATCCTTCTTCTCCATAACATATAAGTGACTTCAAAAATCTTAACTTATAGTACTGGCTAGAATCTCCAGCACAATGTTGAATAGAAGTGAGAGTAAATATCCTTGCACTAAACACTAAGATTAGTGAAAAGTATTCAGTATTCAGTCTTGCACCCTTAAGTAGGGTGTCAGCTATACGTTTTTTAATAGATGCTCTTTATCAGATTGAAAAGTTCCCTTCTTTCTCCTAATTTGCTGAAGAGTTTATATTGGGAATATATGGTGGGTTTTGTCAAATGCTTTTTCTGCATACATGAGAATATCCTATGGTTGCTCTATTTTAGTCTTTTTCACTGATTTTGAAATTCCAACCACCCTTGCATTCAGGATGAACTCCACTCGTTCATAGTGTACTATCTTCCTACACATTGTTAGATTCAATTTATTGAAATTTTGATAGTTCATGAAAGATAATTTTCAGTTTTGTCTTCTTTTCATGTCTTTCTTTCTGGTTTTGGTACCAGTATAATGCTGTCTCACATAATAAGTTTGCAAGTGTTCCTTCCTCTTCAATTTTCTGATAAAGTGTGTGTAGAATTAACATTATTTCTTTCCTTAAATGTTTACTAGAATTCACTAGTAAAGACTTTTGAGTCTGGAGTTTTCTTCTTGAAAAGGCTTTTCGCTACAAAGTCTATTTTAAAAAACAGATATACGGCTATTCAGATTGTCTGTTTCTTCTTGAGTAAGCTTTAGTGGTTTGTATTTTACAAGGAATTTGTCTAAGTTGTCAAATTTATTGGCATAAAATTATTTGTAATATTCTCTTTCTATTCTTTTAGTATATACAAAATAGTGCTATTCCCTCTGTCATTTCTGACATTGTTGATCTGTGTCTTTTCTGTTTCCTGATCAGGCTCTTCTATATAAATGAGCCAAAGATAACTTCTGTACATTAACCCTATATTGTTTCTTTAAAGCAGGCTGGGACCTGTTAGCTCAGGTGCCAAAGTCAAATTTTACACATCTGGTTGTTTTAAATATAGCCCAAATGAACAGATTTTTAGCTTTTAGAGCCTTCTACTTTGCATACCCCAGGATACAGCACCCAACATCTGCTAGCTACAGATAAAATACCCCTGGAAATCTCTGATCCAAATACCCTCCATTGTGCTGCTGAGCGACACCCTGTGGACACATAAGTCCTCTCTCTTCAATTCTCCTCCTCCTCAGGAATTCTCTTGCCCTCCCCCCTTCTGGCACGTGGTCCCTGTATAGAAGACTCTGGATGGCCTCATGCAATAAGGGAATTCCCCATATGCCACCCAGTGTTGCCCAAATAGAGCTCATTGTGTGCTATTGCTACTTCATGGTCATTTCTTTTTTCTTATTTAGCCCCTAAATCTCTTGAACTCAATATAATTGGTGATAAAAAAAAAAAAAAGGCGGGGGGAGGTAGAATTTTGGAAATGATGAAGAAATTGATATGGGGTCCATCCAGTCAGTGGGACAATCAAATGGCAAAATGATCATGGACAGCCTTAGTGGTTGGGACTCAAATTTTGGAACACTGCCACATCATTTTGGTGTGGCATTGCTCTGTGTCATATTGTACTCTATATTTTTTGTAGTCTCTCCCAGTGCCTCATCAGCTTGGACAAATGGTGCCACCAGTATTTGAGTGAACTCATGCCATTGGAACAGACTTCTGAGCCCAGAGGCCCAGAGCAGCCCCAAGAGGGAGGTCAGTCCACCCACCTGGTCTTCCACTAGGCAAGCATTGGACAATATAAGACTTTCGGGTCTGAATAGTAAAAAAGTCAGAACACAGCCTCTGGAGAAAAGGTGGGCTAATTCCAACTCCATAACAGGCTATAACAAGAGGGACTCCCCACAGTGGACTGGTGATTTAGTGAATGCCTGAGATGGGAGAGGGGTAGGTAAAAGTGATGAGGCCAAAATGTCAGGCTGGGCTGGTCTCCTTAGCAATGTTGGGAAGTGTCTTTGTAAAGAGCTAGCATGCCTCTGCTGCTTGGATCTGCAGTAGCCAACAGTTGGGCTGAGCTGGCTAAAGCATTACTTAATGTGACTAAAAATGCAAGGAAGTTTATATTCCTGCCCCTCCCAGGACTCCAAAGGAGGTGGTTGTCCTAGGTGCTCCAAACCTTGGGAGGAGACACTTGTTGGGCTCTGTTTGCCACTGCTTCTCACGGAGACACTGTCTCTTCAGAATGCCACTGGGGAGTAGGCAGGAGCTGGAACTCCTAGGGAGATGACCTAAGGGAGGGTTCCCGGGAAGATGACTGGTGCCCTCTAGAGGAAAAGGCCGCATAATACCACCACGATAGTCAAAAAGGGTTCTGCTTCTAAAGAAACAAACTATCTGGGGAGGATTAGGGCAGTTAGTGGAGATGTTGGCATCTCAGAGTTAAGTACTCCTCATTCTGGTATTCCTGATAAGGGCTGGCTTTTGCCTCAATACCCTAATGCAAAGCCTGCCAGTCAGTGGGCTGTGCCAATGCATACAGTATTTGCCAATGCATTTCCCTGTATTTTAAAAATGCCAATGCATTTCCCTGTATTTTAAAAAAATTACCTCCTTCTTAAATTTTAAAAGATGACTGACTACCCAACTACAGTGTTTATACATGCATATTTGCATGGTGTCAAAACTATTTTTTCAAAGGAGAGGATTATGGTTAGCCAGGATAGTAATTAGCTGGTAGAGAGGAAGTTAGAGTATAATGATAGGCAAGAGGCATACAGAAGGCTTCTAGAGTGCTGGCAATGTTCTATTTATTGATCTGGACAAAAATTCATTCAGCTGAACATTTGTGTTTCATACTTCCTTTTTTCTGTACATGTGTTATTTATTTTCCACAATAAGAAGGTTTAAAGGAAAAAATATGAACTAAGACTCACTGGATATTTGAAGAAAACCCTTGATGTGAAAGTAAAAAACCCAAATAAAGAAAAACAGACTCCAGAGGAAATACAGAATTCAGGAAATGAAAGAACTTAAAAAGAAAAAGTTAACTTTGCCAAAGAGATTCTTTTAAAAATTACATCCTTAAGCAAAAAGAAAATGTAATTAAAAATGAAATAGAGAGGGCAGAGCAAGATGGCAGAGGAGTAGGAGACCTGGATTTCGTCTCCTCTCAGGAATTCAGCTGGATAGGGATCAAACCATTCTGAACACCTACAAACTCAACAGGAGATCGAAGAAAAGAAGAGCAACAACTCTCTCATCAGAAAAGCAACCACTTTCTGGAAGGTAGGATGTGCGGAGAAGTGAATCCGAGGCGATATTCGGGAGGATAGATGGTGGGGGAGGGGCCCCCGTCTGCCGCTTCTAGCAAGTGATAGAGCCACGGAGCACAAAATCGGAACATTTAAAAGTCTGCTCCGCTGAGGGATGTCACCCTGGTGGCTAAGGAGGGGGGGGAACCCTCCGGACAGTATGGTCCCAGGACCCTTGGGGTCACAGAAAGACCGGGGGTGCCTGAGTGTGGCAGAGCTCCCAGGTAATGGAGCAGGGAAGCCGGCTGCAGAGGCGGAGCCCAGGCGCGGGCTCTCAGCTCGGGGTCGCCATAAACCGTGATCCGCGGCACAGTTGGGCCCCTGCTCCTCCAGCAGGGACCCAACAAGCGACAGATCTGGGGAGACTCACCTTCCTCCCCCGGGAGGAACCGCACGGGAGTGCACCACAGGGATCTGCTGGGTTTGGAGACTCCACCCGGAGTCAGGTGCCAGAGATAGAAACGCGCGGTCACAGGCCGGGTGAGCACGGAGTGCGGCCGGAGACCGGGGAGACGAGAGTGACTGATGGCTTTTCTCTGGGGGCTCACTGAGGAGCGGGGCCCTGAGTTCTCGGCTCCTCCGGGGCAGAGATTGGGAGGCCGCCATTTTCACTCTCTGCCTCCAAAGCTATACGGAAAGCTCGCAGGGAACAAAAGCTCCAGAGAGCAAACCCGAGCAGATTACTTAGCCGGGAGGGGGCAAGGGCGGGGCAATTCCACCTCCGGCAAAGACATTTGGAAACTACGGCAACAGGCCCCTCCCCAGAAGATCAGGGAGAACAGCCAGCCAAGACCAAGTTTACCGATCAATGAGAACAGCAGAACTCCAGCGCTAGAGGAATACTGCACATAGAATTCATGGCTTTTTTACCATGATTCTTTAGTCTTTCAAAGTTAATTTTTTTTAACTGTCTTTTTTTCTTTTTTCTTTTTTTTTTTTTTTGAATTTTTCTTTTTCCCTTTTTCAACCAATGTCTTATCAATCCCTTTTTTTAAAAAACATTTTTATTTTTCATTTTTACAGTCATATTCTATCCCTTCATAGTAGTTACCCGTATTTTTGGCATATATATATAAGTTGTTCTCTCTTTAAATTTTTGAGATAGTTTCTTCTAACAGATTAAAATATAGCCTAAATCTCTAGTATATGGTTTTTTCTACTCCCCTGCCTGATCACATTCTCTCTCTTTTTTTTTCTTTTTTCTTTTTTTAAATCTTCTTCTTTCTTTTTTCAAACAACTTCTTATCAATTCCTTTTATAAAATTTTTTATAATTTCCATCTTTACAGTCATATTCCATCCCTTCATCATATCAACCCTTATTTTTGTCCATATATAAGTTTTTCTTTCTTCAAAATTTTGGGAGGCACTTTCTTCTAAAAGACCAAAATACACCCCAAATCTAGTGTGTGGCACTGATCTATATACCAGCATGATCATATTTGATCACATTCTGGTTTTTTTTGTTGTTGTTGTTTTGTTTTGTTTGTTTTTGTTTGTTTTTATCTTTATCTTTATCTTTTTCTTTTTTTTTTCTTTTTCTTTTTTCTCTCTTTCCCTTTCTTTTCCCACTGCTTCAGGTCTTTTCTGATTTGTTTAGAGTATATTTTCTGGGGACATTGTTACTCTGCTAGCATTTTGTTCTCTCATTAATCTATTCTCCTCTGCACAAAATGAAAAGACGGAAAAAATCACCTCAACAAAAAGAACAAGAGGTAGTACCGACTGCCAGGGACCTACTCAATACAGACATTAGTACAATGTCAGATCTAGAGTTCAGAATCATCACTTTAAAGATACTAGCTGGGCTTGAAAAAAATATGGAAGTTATTAGAGAAACCCTTTCTGGAGAAGTAAAAGAACTAAACTCTAACCAAGTAGAAATCAAAAAGGCTATTAATGAGGTGCAATCAAAAATGGGGGTGCTAACTGCTAGGATAAATGAGGCAGAAGAGA